GGCATGATTGAATTGAGAATGAGGAGACACCATAAGGAACAAGATAGACCACAGCTGAGGCCACCTGGAGACTTCCTGGGTAGTTTTTCTTAATTAGAATCATCTGTTGCTCTGTGGGTTCCTTGAGCCTCTCCCAGGGGCCTGATCAGGTTTTTACCATTGTCCACTCACTTCCTTGCTTGTTCTGATTAAATATGGGCTGCCTAGGGACAGGTGGCTGGCTGGTTAGCAGATTTATGAGTTCTAAAGAAGATTTCACTCTCAAGACAATGCCACTTTTCTGATTCTTTTGGTCCTTTGCTGTGCACTTTTTGGGAGGCTAGATATTTAGGCATAGGCCCCAACAGAAAATTAACTTTCAGATAGCATAACTGTAATTTTCCTGAAAATTTTGTTGCATGTAAATTTTATTTACCTGTAGATGGTTATTATCAACAAATATATTGCTAAGTTATCAACATATGCTACCTTATTAACATATTGAGGGGTATTATAGTGATTTCTCAGAAATCATGATTATACACCTATTTACATCATTGTGAGTATTCTGCATAACTTTTCTATGTCAGTACTTATACGTGAAATTGGTAGATAATAAAGGAGGCTTCCATCAACTTGCTAAGTACTATGTAACATGAGTCTCGGTGTTTCTAGCAGTTCATTTGTTTTAACCATGAATTCCTCACCAGATGCCAGTTATGCCTGCTTGAAAGAGAATGGATGGTACAGGAAATTACGTGGTTTTGATCTCCAAAGAATTGCTTGAATCAAACTGAAACAGGTAAAAGCTAAAAAACTGTTAGGGTTTTCATAGATTAAAAACTCATTTACATAATTAGTTGAAGAATGAGTTGATGCATTTGGAAGATTATTCAGAACATACAGCTAGCTGAATTATATTAGATATTTATTTCTTAACTTTTATACAGGTACAAAATACCTGACTTACAGAATTTAAAATAAATACATTCTTTATCTCATTGTTTCCATGAGAGAAGTTTGGTTTTGACTGTTTCCAAAGCATAAATATCTTGGAAAAAAGTGAAAAGGGAAAGGCAACTTTTTTATGAGGCCAAGGAGCCAGAGAACAGTTTCAGAACCTGAGAGGAAGGATCCAGGGACCAGATTTGGTACATGGGTCCCAACACACATGGCTGCAGTGTATACATATAGAAGCGATCATAGTAATATCCTACAGATTTCTGAAGCCAAAAAGGTGTTAAAAAATGGATCACCAGGCTTTAGGAAATATACGACTTCTAGGAATGTTAAAATCCTGAACAGCTGAGTGCCGATTAGTGACAAGGGAACTATATGGCAAGGGGAACTTAGCGTGTGAAGTCCTCGGGTATCCCTGTCTCATCAGAAGGAAATGTTCAATTGGATTAGAAATTTTGTTCCATTTCAGCAATAATTGTCACCCCCATGCTTGGCAATATGATGACTTTCAGAATTCAGCATTTTTATGAGTCTGAATGAGTAGCAAGCTTGTCTTGGAGAACTGATGCTTGCTTTTATTTCATCTTTATCTGTTGCAGACCATTACTATCATTTAAATGTAATGTCTTCCCTTTACACAGTAACTGTACTCCTTTTGTGTTCACATACTGGGTTTCTAGGTGGAAAATTAATAGAAATCAGTGAAAATCATTAAAATAAAGTCTGCTGCCTCTAACACAGACTTCTGACTCTGTTCTGTTGTGTCCTGCCCTGGCCTGTTCTCAGAATATTTTCTGACATCAGGGGATTTTTTATTCCTGGAGGATTGAACCTGAATCCTGAAAACATTTGCAGCCCATTATGGAAAGAGTCCACTGATCCTTGAAATAAAGCAGGGGTAGCCATGAAATGGCAGGGATTAATAAGAAATTTAGAGAAGACCTAACACCACCACTTCTCAAAATTTAATGAAATCAAATGGGAAATGGTACTACTCAATTCATTCCTGGAAGCAGGCATTACTCTGATACTGAAACCAGAGAACAGTCCAAATAAGAAAGAGAATTACAGACCATTCTGCGAGTGAACATTGAAGCAAAAATCCTCAATAAGATACGGGCAAACAGACTGCAGAATATCATTAAGAAGATTTTACAACATGATTAAATGGAATTATTCCCTGGGATGCAGGGGTGGTTCAACATACATAAATCCATACATATAATACACCGCATTGACCTATCCAAAAGCAAAAATCATTTGATCTTTTCAATAGATGCAGAAAAAAATTTTGCCAAAGTCCATCACCTATTCATAATAAAAAACCTATAAAAATTGGGAGAGAAGAACTTTATCTCAATCTGATAAAAGCCTTTTATTAAAAACCAACAGTCAACCTCATACTAAGTGGACAAAAACTGAAAGCTTTCAGTCTAAAATCTTACTGTCTCCACTCTTACTCAATATAGTCCTGGAAACTAGCTGGAGCAATTAGACAAGAGAAAGAAATAAAAGGTATAAAGATAGTAAAGGAAAATCTTAAACTATCATTATTTGCAGAAGACATGATACTCTACTTAGAAGACCCTAAAAATTCCACCAAAAGACTTCTAGTTTAAGAAGCAAATTCAGTAATATAGCTGGTTACAAAGGCAACACTCAACAATCAATAGACTTCATAAACAAGAATAAAAAACTCATGGAAAGAGAAATCGAGGAAACAATAACTTTTACAATAGCATCCAACAAAATGAAATACTTAGGAATCAATCTAACAAAGGATGTAAATGACCTCTACACGTAAACTACAGTACTCTCAACAAGGAGATTGAAGATGATATTCTAAAATGAAGAACTATCCCATAGTCTTGGGTAGGGAAATTCAATATAGTGAAAATGACCATACTTCCAAAGCTATTGTACAGATTTAGTGCAATCCCAATCAAAACCCAGTAGCATATCTCAAAGAATTACACAAAATAAATCCTAAAATTCATCTGGAACCAGAAGAGACCTAGAGTGGCAAAGGTGATCCTGGGCAACAAAGAAAAGATAGGGTTCATCAAAATACCTGACTTGAAATTATACTATAAAGGTATTGTGATTTTAAAAAAAGGTGTGGTACTGACAAAAAACAAAACAAACAAAACCAGACCCAAAGATCAAAGGAACAAATTAGAAGATGGAGAAACAACCCCAGACCACTAAACCATCTTATCTTTGACAAAGGTGCCACACAGAGTCATTGGAAGAAAAGCAGCCTCCTTAATAAATGATGCTGGAAAAACTGGCTCTATACATTCTGAATATTATCTTTCAAAGTGTATTAAGCTAAGATCAGAATAGATCAAAGATCTTATATTAAAACAGAAACATTAAATCTGCTGTAAGATAGAGTAAGTAAAATTCTTGAAGAGATTGATGTAAGCAAAGACTTTATGAAGAAAACTTGGATTGCACATCAAAAATCAAAGAGAATTAATCTCACCCTACTGAAAAACTTTTTAACAGCAAGAGAAATCACTAACAGACTCAAGAGACAACCCACAACGTGGGAGAAAATGTTTGCCAACTGTTCCTCAGACAAACTGTTACTATAATAGAGTATGGAAAACTAAAAAATTTCAGTCTTCTCAGATTTAAAGACCCAATCCAAAAATGTGCATCTGAGGTGAAGTACACAGTTCTCAGATGAAGAAATAGAAACAGCAAATAAATATGTGACAAATTGTTCTGCATAAATTATCACTTTACAATTGCAAATTAAATAACACTGATATGTCACCTTGCCCCAGAAAACATGCCTACTGTCAAGAAATCAAAATATAACGAATGCTGGAGGGGTTGAGGGGGGGAAAAGGAACCCTTCTCCACTGTTGGTGGTAAAGCAACCACTGAGGAAACTAGTGTGGAGATTTCACATAAACTTGGTCTACAGACCCACTCAGCGCAGCTATTCTCCTTCTGGGTATCTACCCAAAAGAATAAAAATCATCATACCACAGTGATATATGTGCACCCATGTTTATAGCAGCACAGTTTGTGGTAGCAAGATCTTGTATGGAATGCAGGATCTCTAGCTTGCCAGGCAGGCGCTTAAGCTAAATCCCTGGACCACTGTTGGGAGCAGGAGCCAGGGGTCCTGCAGTAACCTCAGCCTTCTAGACAAAGCATTGCGCTGATATTAAACTGGGAATAGCTTCAAAACATAAAAAATAGAAGTTTCTCATGGGCCCAAGAACATGTTTACCTCCTGGGCTGCACAACATAGAAGTTTCTCACGGGCCCAGGAGCATGTTTACCTTTGCTGTGTGCACAAGAAAGTGTCCTGAAGTGACTTGTACTGCTCTTTGTTTTGAAACATTATAAAAACTCTGTAGTCCTTCAATAAATCGCCTTTTGCCTCCTGAGCAACTGGTCTCCCTGTGTCTTCAGTGTCTCGCCTGACTCCTTCCCTGCAGCTGGCCGCAGCACCTGGCACCTGGCACCCAAACTTGGGGCTTGTTGAATATAAGCATTTGGAGCGTTTTTCCAGTGGAAGGAGAATCGAGAGTTGCGAGAAGACCACTGCTACAGACCACCCGGGTAAGTGAAAAGTGAAAGTAGCAGGGAGTGGCATATATGCAGGGATTGAGAAGGGGTAACTCCCCATCATCAGAACGGGAACTTTTTGAACAAGTTATTTCCTCTTTGTTAAAGAGTAGGGGCATTCCTGTAGCTAAGCTTCAAATTCATCGGTTTGTTGATTTTGTGCATCAGGTTTGTCCCTGGTTTCCTGAACAGGGAACGGTTAATGTTGAGACTTGGAAAACAGTAAGAGAAAAGATTAAAGATTATTATTGTGCTTGGGGTCCTGAGAAGGTTCCTGTGGGTGTGTTTTCAATTTGGACTCTAAATAAGGACTATTTAAAAGGGGACTCTGAGTCTAGTAAATGGGAAAAAAGAACTCGAGAAAGTTTTATAAGAAAAAACCAAATCCTCAGAGAATGTGGCATCCTCCTTATACCCACCCCCCCGCCCTCTGCTCTGCCACCACTCTCTGAGCCACCCTGTTACAAGCAGCCCAGCTAGCTCAGTCGGTAGAGCATGAGACTCTTAATCTCATGGTCGTGGGTTCGAGCCCCACCTTGTGTCAAAAGTTTGTACATGCAGCCATTGCCAATACCAGATCTAAATTTGCCTCTGCCACCATTATTCATTATATGGATGATATTTTAATAGCCCATCAAGATTCTGAGATGATTTTGCAAGTATATGCCTCTCTTCATCAGGATTTAACAAATAATGGGCTGGTCATTGCACCTGAGAAGGTCCAAACTTCACCTCCTTTTTCTTATCTAGGTTTTCACTTATATCCACGGCATTTTTCTCCTCAACGTTGTCTGTTAATACTTCTCACTTGTGTACATTACATGATTTTCAAAAACTCTTAGGCGAAATTAATTGGATCCGGCCATCTCTAAAGTTAACTACTCAAGACCTCCACCCATTGTTTTCCTTATTAGCTGGAGATTCTGACCCAAGTTCACCCCACCAAATGACGGCTGAAGCTCGCAAAGCTCTTGAACTGGTTAATAAGGCTCTTCAAAGTGCGCAGCTTCATTATTGTGATTTTTCCACTCCCTGGTCTCTTATCATCATACACACGTCTTTTTCCCCTACAGGTGTGTTATATCAGCAGGGAGTTCTCTCATGGATTCATGGTTCGCATTCCCCGAAAAAGGCTCTCCCCCCTTATGCCTCTTTGGTTGCAGAAAGGATTATGCAAGGAAGAAAATTGTCTATAATGCATTTAGGAAGCGACCCTCACTCTATTATAATCCCTTATACATCTGAACAGCTTGAATGGTTGCTTAATATGACTGATTATTTTCCTCTTTCTCTAGCATCCTATACCAGTCAAATCCAACACCATTATCCCAAGGATAAAATTCTTCAATTTGCCTCCAAAGTTACGTTTTCATTTCCTCAAATCATACGCATGAAACCCCTTGTTAATGCTATTACTTTATTTTCAGATGGAAGCTCCAATGGAAAAGCTACTTTAGTATCCCCAAGTCAAACTTATGTATGGCAATTGAGGAGTACTTCAGCTCAGGAGACTGAACTTTATGCTGTTCATCAGGCTTTTATTCTTTTCTTTGATGTTCCCTTTAATTTGTTTTCAGACAGCCAATATGTAGTACAAGCCTTGTCTATTTTAGAATGTGTCCCTGTTATCAACACTGCTAATATCCTTGTTGCACAGTTATTTGGTCTTATTCAATCATCTTTACATTCTCGATCTGCACCTTGTTTTGTAGGACATATTCGCAGTCACTCTAATCTTCCAGGCACTTTGACTCATGGAAATGCAATTGCAGATTGAGCCATGCATATTGGACTGTCTGCTGTTTTGCAAGCACAACAGTCACATGCTCTTCATCACCAAGCTGCACAGGTTTTACGTTATCAATATGGTATAACACGGCAGCAAGCACAAGAAATTGTTAAAAACTGTCCCTCATGTGAGCATCTCCTTCCAGTACCGCATTTTGGAGTCAACCCTCCAGGACTCCGTCCAAATGACTTCTGGCAGATGGATGTCACTCATTATCCTTTTTTTGGGTCATTAAAATACCTACACGTTACCATAGACACCTTTTCTCATTACATGCTTGTTTCACCTATGACTGGAGAAACTGCCACCCATGTAATACAACACCTACTATATTGTTTCTCTATCCTGGGCATTCCTGGATCCATTAAAACTGATAATGGCCCAGCATATGTTAGTAAACCCTTTGCCATATTCTGTCAGACTTTCCATATTAAACATGTTACTGGACTGCCTTATAATCCTCAAGGACAAGGAACTGTTGAACGTGCTAATCTCTCACTAAAAAAACACATTAAAGAAATTTAAAAGGGGGAGATGGTATAAGTATTTTCCCAAAACCCTTCTTAACCATGCTCTTTACGTTCTTAATTTTTTAACTTTTGATGCTTCCAATAGATCTGCAGCTGAGAGACATTGGTCTCCTGATTTGCCCTCCAAGCCAATGGTTTATTGGAAAGACCCATTAACTAATCTATTACATGGCCCTGACCCAGTATTGATATGGGGAAGAGGGTATGTTTGTGTTTTTCCCACAGATGCTGATACACCCAGGTGGATCCCAGAACGCTGTGTACGACTTGCCCAAGAGCAAGATAGAAAAATTGCGCAGGACGATGCTTCGACTAACCATGACCTCGAGGACGAGAACAATGACCAGAAGGCCTCCTGCGACAAGAGATGAAACTCTTCTGTTTTTGGCTCAACTGTTAAGCATTATTTGGGTTTTGCATATATTTTATATGCCTGTGTGGGCGGATAACTATTGGGCATTTGTACCTAATCCTCCTTTGTTGCACCCTATGTCATGGGGCGACAACGATGATGTTACTGTTTATGTAAATAATACTCGTGTCTTAAGTTTTCCTTCTTCCACTCATATACAACCTATCTCTATTTTATATAATTACACTGAAATGTCTGTTTCATTACCCTTATGTTTTTCTAAAACAAATAAGAATTGTACATTAATAGAAAGATATTCTGATTGGGATGGAAACTTTACTAATGGAATGCACTGGGGAGTAGATATGATGTATGTATTTCACAACAGTAGTGAAACTAGAGTGGGAAAAGTTAATCCCCCTGAGCATATTCCAGAATGTAGACAAAAATATCCAAGCAAAATTGTATATGGACCCTCATGGCGTTTGTGCCATCATAATTATACTATATGTTACAAAGATCTATGTGATTGGAGTGATTACAGAGAAACAACCTACAGGCCCCAAAATTTATTATATGGAATATGGACAAGGAATAACATCACCTTTTTTACCATGCTGTGGAAGTTGGTTGCAGCACTTGATTACATTGCTGTTGCAAAGGAAAATTTGTATGGCAACATATAGGGACACAGGATGCTATTTCTGTTAATGGCACAGTAAAAATTTTGTAACTATCATAGCTTGTATTTCTTAACCATATGGTGTTATAAGTGGAGAACTTACTGTAAATAAGAACAATGAATCTTATGAAATTACTTGTAAAGATTGCATCTTATCCAATTGTGTTAATGCTTCACGAAATCACTCATCCATATTACTGTTCAAACAACCTCCATTTGTATTTTTACCTGTTAATATCACCACAGAGTGGTATCAAGATCCTTGTGTGATTATTTTGCAAAAATTAACTAAGTTTTTAAATCGGGCCAAACGATTTGTTGGGATGTTAATGACTGGAATTGCTGCACTTATTACTTTGATAGCCTCCACTACAATGTCCGCAATATCTCTTACAGAAAGTGTGCAAACTGCATCCTATGTTTGTCGATGTCCGCTCCCCGCGGCTCCTTTTGTGCTTCAGTCTGCCCCAAAGCCTCTACCGGTCCGCTCTCCGCGGCTCCTTTTGGGCTTCTACTTCCGGGCTTCTATCTGGCTTCTTCTTCCGCCCAGGGGTGGCACCGGTATATATACGGGTACGGTGTCCAATCATGTTAAAGTAAGCAAGGCAAGCTGATTGGCTAACATCATCAGTTGCCAGGCAGACTATATTGTTGAGCGGGTTGTTTACGCGGTAAGCAGGAAACTAACATATTCGATGGGAGGGGTAATCTACCTCAGGCCTCACTCTTTACTACAGGCCTCACGTCCGCCAAGTGAGGCGACCGGGCTCGGGGCTGTGGCTCCCAACATCTCCCCCTTTTTTATTTTTTATGAATGTGCGCATTGTAGCCCTTCCTGGACTGGGTGCAGAGGCTTATGCCCTATGCGTAGGCCCACCGTAGGTCCTTGGCTTAGACCCTGGTCGGCCGTCCCATGGTCTGCCAAGGCCCTGAGGCCCTCGTCCTTTTTCTAGGGCCAGGCACAAACTGGACGGAACCTGGATGCACACAAGCTTGCACTCATTCTCTCTCCGTAAAGAAATTCCCTCGGAGAGAAATTTAGACCTGGGCAGCATCTAACAGTCCAGCGGCTTACGTGCAGGATGGGGTAGGGCCTGGCTTAGGTCGAGTCATGCTGGGGAGGCACGCTCTTACCCGTCATTGACTCATCTACCCTGCTATATCATAATTTTTTAGAGGAGGAGTGTGGGAAGCTCACCGTCCCTAGACTCGGTCGTAGGCTAGGCGAGCGAGCCATGCATATGCCTGAGGATCTTCTTGTCCATTTCGGGCTACCGCTATTTCTATTCATCTTGTTGGTTGGTCTGTGATGGATCTCCAGTAGGGCAGGTCTGATCTTTAGTCGAGGGCTTTGTTGCCCGTGTCAGTCTCTCCGGTATCCACAGTGGTTCTCGTCCCGGTTCCTGTGGGAAAACACAAACCGCGCCTCGGTTCCAGCTGATTACTGGATCCGGGCCCATCCATTGTCCTGTCAGGACATCTTTCCACTTCACCCACCCTTTATGGTTGGGGGAAGGGTTGCAGTGCTCCACAGCTGGGGAGCGATTATCATTATTTAAATTTAAAAAATTGTGTGTGAATAGTGCCATGGATAATCGTGCCTTTGGGGCCAGGCCTTGGCCTACTCCCCCTTTTTGTTTTTGTAAAATTTCTTTGAGGCTTCTATGAGCCCTCTCAATGATTCCTTGACCTTGGGGATTGTATGGGATACCATGTTTTAATTGAACCTCCATCATTTTGCAGAACTCATTGAAAGCTTTGCCTATATAGGCTGGTCCATTATCAGTTTTTAATATTTTTGGTTTGCCCCATGCGGCCCAAGCTGCCAGGCAATGATTGATCACATTAGACACTTTTTCACCTGTTTCTGCTGTTGCAAATATGACGTGAGAACAGGTGTCTGTGGAAACATGAACATATTTAAGAGTCCCAAACTCCTGTATATGTGTGATGTCCATCTGCCAAACATCACCAGGGATCAAACCTCGAGGGTTTACTCCCATCGGTATGGCAGGTTTGTATGTGGCACAGGAGTCACATAGTCGCACGATATCTCGTGCATCTGCTCTAGAAACATGGAAATGGTTTGCTAGTGTCCTGGCATTAACATGAAATTTATCATGGAAGGCACGGGCTCGCTCGATTGGTGTTAGTAAGGTAAAAATCCATAACGGGCGAGTGGCAGTGTCAG